AGGGCACAGCCGGGAAGGAAAGTGAAGGGAGGGGAAGGGCAGGGCAGGGCAGGGCAGGCGGGGGAAGGGAGAGGTGCCTCGCGGGCAGCCGGCGGGCAGGGCTCACCCGCACTTCCTTGTAGAGGCGCAGGCAGGTGTGGTTGAGGATGAAGTAGCGGTCGTGGAAGCCGGTGCTCAGGCCAAGCCCCAGCAGGTTCCTCTCCTCCCGAAACTTCATCATGCCGTGCTTGCAGTCGCCCACTCTGCTGGCTGGGGGCACATGCCTGAGCGGCTCCGGCCCCCCAGGGGGGTCAGGCCCCCCAGGAAGGGCGCGGGGTGCAGCCAGACCCGGTCCCGCAGGGCAACAGCAAGGGAAACCCATCCCCATCCCCATCCCATTCCCATCCCCATCCCCATCCCCATCCCATTCCCATCCCCATCCCCATCCCCATCCCATTCCCATCCCCATCCCCATCCCCATCCCATTCCCATCCCCATCCCCATCCCCATCCCATTCCCATCCCCATCCCCATCCCCATCCCATTCCCATCCCCATCCCCATCCCCATCCCATTCCCATCCCCATCCCCATCCCCATCCCATTCCCATCCCCATCCCCATCCCCATCCCATTCCCATCCCCATCCCCATCCCCATCCCATTCCCATCCCCATCCCCATCCCCATCCCATTCCCATCCCCATCCCCATCCCCATCCCATTCCCATCCCCATCCCCATCCCCATCCCATTCCCATCCCCATCCCCATCCCCATCCCATTCCCATCCCCATCCCCATCCCCATCCCATTCCCATCCCCATCCCCATCCCCATCCCATTCCCATCCCCATCCCCATCCCCATCCCATTCCCATCCCCATCCCCATCCCCATCCCATTCCCATCCCCATCCCCATCCCCATCCCATTCCCATCCCCATCCCCATCCCCATCCCATTCCCATCCCCATCCCCATCCCCATCCCATTCCCATCCCCATCCCCATCCCCATCCCATTCCCATCCCCATCCCCATCCCCATCCCATTCCCATCCCCATCCCCATCCCCATCCCATTCCCATCCCCATCCCCATCCCCATCCCATTCCCATCCCCATCCCCATCCCTATCCCCATCCCCATCCCATTCCCATCCCCATCCCCATCCCTATCCCCATCCCCATCCCATTCCCATCCCCATCCCCATCCCTATCCCCATCCCCATCCCATTCCCATCCCCATCCCCATCCCTATCCCCATCCCCATCCCATTCCCATCCCCATCCCCATCCCCATCCCCATCCCCTCGCTCCTCTCCCTGCCAGGGCCGTGACTACCCGGCTCCTCACCGAGGTAGATGAGCATGTTCTCCATGGACATCTGCTTCTTCACCACCAGGTAGCTCTCCGTCCCCAGGCAGTGCAAAATGGGCAGGACTTTTTCCGAGTAGTGCAAGGGCCGTTCTGTCGGGCAGGGAGACAGGCAGGGGTCAGGCAGCAGCCCCGGGGGCTGGCACCCACCAAGGAGGGGGGGGTCGCACGTGTGTCCCGAGGCTCTGCCAAGGTCCTGCCTGCCCCCCGGAGCAGAGCTCGCATGCAGCACCATCGCCTTTTAATTGGATTCATTTCACAGTGCCGCTGCTTACTAATTGTCCCCTGGGGAGGTGACTTTTGGCCCGTGGTATGTGAGCAGCGGGGACCTGCGGGGACGGGAAGGCGGCTAAGGAACAATTGCCAACAGATATTGCAATTGCAAAACATGTATGTTTTGAAAACATAGACTGCTGTAGGCGGAATGTAATTTGCACACGTGCTTGCAAAAATATGCACAGCAGTATTTCAAACATGCACGTTTCCACGCAAGCAAAGGGCGAGTCAAGGATTTCATAAAAGTTCATAGGTGAATATTCCATTTTAGGCTAATCTTAGCCCCTGCACAGCCTGAGGATCCTTTTTTTTTTTTTTTTTTTTTAAGGGCTTAGCGGTGCTCGGCTGAGCACAGCGCTTCGGTGCTTCAGAGCAGCACCCACCCTTTGCAGACGGGAGCCTGAGCTTGACGGCTTGGCTCCGTTGGCAAGGACCAAAACATCTCAGCAGAGGCTTTCAGTGATGGCCAGAGCGCTGCCGGGCTCAGCATCCTGCCTGCCTCCCTGCCAGGCGCGGCCACTGGGCACGCTCAG